GGGGGTGAAAAAACTTGAGTGAATAGTCCGGGTTCAAATAAATTTAAACTAGCTTTTAAATCGAACTGCTAAAAAGAGAAATTTAGGGGAAAATGTATTTTGAAAACTTTTTATCAGGCATTGAGAAAATTTTAACAGAAAAAGAAATCAAAACTTGCAGTATCAAAAGTTTAATTTTATACGGAAACTTTCAAAGTATTTGTTAAACTTAATTAGTCTTCACAGTCCCAACATTCTGAGATGCAAAACAATCGTCTTGATAAAAAGATGAGGAATTCATCGGCTGACCTAGAAGTTCAAAATTAGCAGGTTTCATGCAATAATCTTTTGAAGGGTTACAAACACGTTTTTGCGATTTTCTGCAGAATATGCATTGTTCGGCTGTTCGGCGAAAAAAAGGCTGACAAAATTCCACTGAAGAAAAGTTTGATTGTTTCAGTCACTGGTATGATAAACAGTTTTGTTTTACTTTAAGAAAAGACGGATTTTTCTATTTTTTTTCATCAAACAAACAGGGTGTTTTTTTTCATCAAACAAATATCGTTTGTTAACTAGCCGTTTTAGCTGAGTCTTATTTTACCCAAAGAAAAAGATTTTGGTTCATTTTCTTTGGTGCTATTGAAGCGTAACTGGCCGTTCATTGCAAAATATACTGGAGTTAGCAATTTGTTTTTCGTAGCGAAATGTATCAGTGTCTACTTTAAATAGCGTGTGGCGGGACAAAAGACAAAAATATTGAAAAGAAGCAAATGTTTTGTTAAAAGCAACATAACAGTTTATTTGAATAACAGAATATTCCGACCATAGTCTTGAAATATACAACCAGAGCGGAACGAAAACAAAACAGGGATTAGTTATATTCGATAGCCATACTAAAAAAAGTAAACTGAAAAATAATTTTTGAAGGAAAAGTAGAAGCAAAAAAAAAGAAACAAAAATTTTTTCAAGTTTTTTGAATGTTTTTGAATTTTTAAAAATTTGATTCCAAAAATCGCTAAAGTAATCAAAGTAAAATAACATTACCTAAGTAAAATTAAGTTTTTAGTCTTCAAACTAAACTTTTGTAAGCTTTTAAGCAATTAATCGGTTGAAATAAAACTGCTCGCTTGCTCCATTCGCTCGAAATAGGACGAAAAATCAAAAAGTTCAAACCGGTTCTTCTCAACACTGGGAAAATTTTTCAAAATTTTAAATTTGGTTCAAATCAGGACTGCACGAGCTCGATAAGATATATCACTCAATTCAGTCCGATGATTATTTTTATACCTGATTTTGCGTGGAAAACAAAAAGAAAAAACTAAAGCACCCGAATACTGATTTCGTCCCCATTCTCAAATGCTCGGAACAACAGCCTTCATTGATGTTGATGGACAATCAAATATTGACAGTTTTGTTATTTTTTCCGTTAACATCTTGCAAAATCTAACATTTGAGGCTGCTGAAATTGTTTTTCCTCAAGACGAGAAATACTTCAAGAAATTGCACAAATATATAAGAAAAAATGTTATTTTGTTTAAATTGGTGGTTTTCGATAACTTAATGGTCTTTGCGTAATAAAAAATTGGATTCGAATTAACGTTTGAACAAAATCTGCTAGCGCAAGTCGTCAGAAAAAGTTAACGCTTATTGAAATAATTTTGTTTCAAAATTCAGGAAAAAGTCAGAAAATGTTAACTTATAAACCGTTCACAACACAACAACACAATAAGAGGCATGCAAAAGCTTCCAAAAATCTTGCAAGATTTTGAATTCCAAGATTCATAAGGAAACTACAATTTATTGAAAACACTTAACAATAACCTTGCAAGGTTTGCAATTCAAGCTGCCAGTCAATAAAATGCCAAAATATCTAGATAAAATTACAAAATATCCAGAAATAATTCAAAACCTTTATCCCATACTGATTTTGGAATACGAGCCTGGGTTTTTTTTCACTTTCCTTCCTTTGCCTAGAACAAAAAGGGTCCAAATTTTTTTCTTACCACAGTTTTCTTGAAAGTAAAGTTGTGCGAAGCTTTTTTGTTTGTTAACACTTTTTTAGTATGGTTTGCCGACCAAGTTAGCATCCTCACCCCCAAAGCCGTTTTGGGGGGATTTGATGTTAACTTAGTTTTAAGTTGGGATTTTCAGCCAATCAGAATCGAGCATATTACATGTAGCGCTTGGCAAAATTAATGTGAATTAAATGCTGGGGTGTGGAAGATCTTAACTTGGTCTATATAAGGAAGGAGGGGATGTTGCTAACTTGATCCTTGTTTGCTTAAAAAAATCAATATGCATAGGCTTCTGGACAAGGAATTTCAAAAAATAAAAATGTAATAGAGGAACTGAAAAATAGCCGAAGTTTGTTTAAAGAATTATGAACCGTTCTAATCCACGATTTTAGCAAAATCATGGCTAAGTACAGACAAGACTGCTCGTATCAGGAAGAAGCCCTAAAAATTTCGACTGCCTTTTAACGTTTATGGAGCAGTAATAACAGAAACAACATAAAAAATAAACAAAAATAAAATAAAATGAAATTTTTTTTTTCTAAAATTCAAACACTTTTCTATGAAAATCATCCTCCCACACGCCATATAAAGTACAAAGCAATAGATTTCGCTCCTTGTAACAATTCAATTATGACAAATAAGCTTCGTTCAACTAATTTGGAATGATTTATAGGATGGATTAAATCTCCGCTTAGGCGTTAATAGCGCGAATTATATCGCGCGTTAATTGTCCCAAATTGGTCAAAGTGGCCAAAATGGCAATCTTTAAACCCTCATAACTTTACGGAAAATGATCACAGGTGAAATATTTTTTCTGATTTAAGCTCAGGACAGCAATAGCTTTCGAATGATATAAAAAATTCCGACAAAAATGGCTAGTTAAAAAGTCGAAGTTTGTCTGAAGAAACAAAAACCCACCCCGAGCACAAATATTCCGTTATTTTCGTATCGAAAGTCGGAACTATAACCAACCGTGATTTTGACTATAACGCTAAATTAGACAGATCCAATTTATCAGATTATTAAAGGAGAAGTATGATTCATCAAGTATGATAAACTTTTATGGAGAAATACGCTTAAATTTTCGCTTCAATCCGCATTATTGAAACTGGCTCGTCAAAAATGATCAACATAAGCTCAGTATAAGCTATTTATTATGCATCAAGCTCATCGCACACTGAATTGTTCTAAATAATATATAGTCCGACCATCTTTTTTGCCACACCCCCTGAATTTTTTATTGAAGCTCTAGTAAGTCTGAAATGGCTCTACTGTGATATACCACTCGACCCTGTCTGAGATTTATTTGTGGTACCTGGATTTGAGTGATTATATTATACGCTGTAGTCCAAACATCAATCACATATTTTAGGTTGGAACAATTAATTTTAATTTAAGTTTTTTTTCAATCCAATAATAATATGTTTTGATATTACTAAACAACCAATAGGCGCTCCTCTTTTATAGTGATAATTTCAGGAAATTAACTCATAAAATTATTGAAAAATTATATATGTTCTTAGTACTTGTTTTAAAGAAAACAAACTATCTTTGGTATACAAAGCATAATTTTTTCAAAATTATAAATTTTTGAAAACCCAGACATGTTGAACACGCTTAATTAGCCTACCAGAATTTTTAACGGACATTTTTTTCTGCTATGCCCGAAACCTTGAAGAACTTGAAAAAAAAATCAAGCTATAGTTTCTTCCCATCCCAGAGACATAAAAATTATATAAAATATAACTTAAAACTGAACGAGAATCAGATTAGGCAAGCACACATAATGAGTTCATCTGTTCACATTTGTATAAAGACATATCCTGTCGAGTATGAACAGTCTGCCCTACTTTAAGAATATATTCTTAGAAAAAAAAACCAATTAGGCCTGATGCCTGTCGAGAGATACCTTTCTTGATCATTCTTCTCATTATTTCAACCTTGTCTTGGGAAATAATTTTTTTTTTGCTGCAATGAAAATAAATCAAACGAACCATTCATAATTTTGAAACTTCTCTAAAGTTACCGTTGTTACCGCAACAAACCGATAAATTATCCTTTTCCAATTAATCGAAGTTTTTTTTGTTGCAGTAGCATTGGAGCGCAACACAATCTTGACCTTCGATGACAAGTGCGACTCAACTTCAACTTCTTCATCTTTATCCTCTTCTTCTTCTAGAACATTCTCAGACTCGTTTGCTGGTGATTCATCAGGAAGTGGCTTCGGCAGTGCTGCGCTAGGGTCTCAGCCAAATCAATCCGGATCGTCATCATCAGGTCTGTTCTCTTAAATTCCTCCAGTCGAACTGACGAAGAATATGAAGACAAATGGGCTTGTATGAATGGGAATTTTCTGAGATTTTTTGTCAACTCGAAGTTCCTATAGGATCAAGGGCGGATCTAAGATTTTCTCGAGGAGGTCGGATTTTCCAAAACTTTTCGAAAATTCTGTCGACCCTTTTTTGAATCCACCAAATCGATTTTCCGAGCGCTCCCAAAACACTATAAGAATCCTATTTTGAGAGAAGTTTTTGAGCATTTTTTGGAAAGTTTTTGAAAGTTTTTTTTGGAAATTTTTTTAGGAAAAAGTTTTTTAGTTTTTTATCGCATGACCTCAAAAAAAAAATTTCCGAAAAATTTTCCAAAAATGCTCAAAAATTTACCGAAAAATGTTTCTTAGGGGCATTGTTTGATATGTATTTCTACAAAAAAAAATACGCATAGCTGAAAAATTGAGATTGTTTCTTGAGATTAAAAAATTACTCTGGCTATGAAATAAATCAAAATGGCAATAGCGGGGAAAAATTTGAAACACTATTTGTTAAGACATTAGAAAACATATTTTATGTTACTTTTAATGGATTTTAAAATCGTTGATACTGGAAAAGACCATGATTTAATTTGGCTTTCAAACTTTCAAAACTGAAATGTGATAAGATTCAAAACTGTCCAATGAGTCTATAATTAGAAATAATTTTGATGCAAAAATTGATAATTTTCTTAAATGTCATACAAACAAACTTCTGAAAAATGTTACTTTATTATTTTTAATTTTTTCATTGCCTTCTTTGATATCACTGATGGAAAAAAGTATTTAGATTTAGATAAAAACATAATTCAATCTTAGCTACGCAGTGTCAAACTTCTAGTCCCTCATTTCAAATACGCAGAAGATAATTCATAGGGGGACCGGACCGTAAGTTCAGCATAAAAATAAAATGCATAAAATTTTTTTGAAAACAAGTTCATTTACATCATTTACATCACATCAGACAGATTTAACAACTATAGTGCTAACTTCCGGCTGTTTGTCTTAAGGTTATATATTAAAAACTTGGTGGTAAACGAGCGCAACAGACAATATTTTGTAGCTTTTATTCCGTTTTTTGCTTTGAAATCATAGTTAAACTGAGTGAAAAGTCATGCACCAGCAATCAAATTTCCATGTCGAAATGACTTCCACTAATTTTTTCCAGGCTTTACAAAAGCAAATTTGAAAATTTTTTTTCTATAAGAGACATCAATTTTAATAAGGCATACTTTTTGTTACAGATCTTGCTCGACCAGAATTGTCTTCATTTTAAGACTTATTAAAAATAGTTTTTTGGTTTTGGAGCTTAAAGCAGTCTCATGTTTCTGGTAAAAGCCTTATGTTGAAAAATTTGTAGATTCATCTGCTCTTCATCATTGATGCCTAAAACGATATATAAGGAGGCAATTTTGCCCCCTTAATCTTGTGAGGTGATCTTTGAAATACTTAAGATTTAGATTTCTTGCTTACAAGATAATAAAACTTGGTTGTATCTTCAAAGTTTTACTAACAAATGTAAGATTCTTGTAGGAATTTGTATTCCACTATAACCCAAGCCACTATAAAAAAACAGGAGAAGAAAGAAAAAAGTTTCAACAAACGCTATAGATTGCATTCTTGTCTATTGAAAATTCTATAAGTTGGTATCTGAAGTTTGCAGAGTATCAATTGAAAGCTGTGCAGACTAAAATAAAAAAGACATTCTGATTCTTATTATCATTTCCAGACTGAGTTATTTTGTTGAGCGTAGCTATTTTTTACGACTCAAGAGCGTGCCCAAAAAACTGCGCGCCAAAATACCCTTTTTTGGTCAAATTTTTCTATAAAGTGAGTTTTTGGCCTTTTTGTCAAAAACTTAAGATTCTATACTTTTTTGTTTTTTATGATTGTAGGTGGGGCGAAAGGTGAAGGGGTTGGCGGATGTCCGGCTCATCTGAGGGTGTTGGACGCAGACCCCCTCTATTCGGGCACCTACTCCTGTCTAGTGAGTGACATGCGGGGGGCAGCAGCTGCAGAATACACTGTAGACATATTAGGTCAGTCAAAGGTCAATAAATGATGATCTCTCTAAACCTCTCCCCTTCCCCTTCCCCACCCTCGTGGAACTAAACGTGAAAATCACTTAAAATACAAAATTAATAAAATGGTTTACCATATACTATTATTGAACCCTGGCATCGAATTCTTGAAATATCAAAAAGCGATAGTGGGTTTGGGAGAGGAGGAGTAGAAGAGATCGAATTACGTAATAATCAGTTGATACATCAACACAACTTTTCAAACTGAAGACCTGATTATTCAAGCGGTATAACACACGAACCTTTTTTCTGAATAATCTTCAGATTTCTGTTAAATTCTAAGTCTCTATACCTTTTTTAGTCCACACTACTGCTGCTTGATTAGGCTCGGGTTTTAATCTCAGTTTGTTGTAATAACATCAGTTAAATTAACTAACTTTAATTGAAACTTCAATTGGTGCTTTATATATGCAATATTTGGTGCTTTAATAACTTCATCATTTGATAACTTCGACAACAAGTGCTATAATTTTAATTTGAACAAAGCTCTTCAAAGTTAGTGTTGAAAATTACTATGCAAGCAGACACAGGTCGCAAATCATTTATGGCTCCAAAACTTTTCCAGGACTGGTAACTAAATGAGCTGCTCAAAGTGTTTTAAACATAGGTGAGTTTCTGTTTGTTTGACCTTCGTCTGTCTCGTAGAAACTACACGAATTTGATTTTGGGTTCAAATAATCGCGATGTCGACTTAAACCAATTTATTCCTTTCTTCTCTCAACATTAACGTTGTCGAACGTAAAAAGTTTTTTTAAATAGATATTTTTATTTTGACAAACTTTAAATTTTTTCTGTTTTCTTTAGTTTCTTTACGCTTTGTAGATACACTGCATAGTAGTTTTCTTGTACTGTGTGTTTCAGATCAATATGAATAGTTTTCTGTTTCTTCAGGGTATGTTGCATTCAATTTTTGAATGTAAATTAAACATGATATAAAAAAAACTTTATGAAATTTTGGCTCAAGCGACATTGCGTTTCAGAAACCTACAAACAGAGTTTTAGATATCTTAAGGCGGGTAACTAGTTTATAACTCCATTTGAAAAAATTGTGATAGTATCTCTATCTTCAGGGCTTTTTGCAAACTGTTCTGTTCATTGATTTCTTTGTAGCAAATTGTCGCGTAAATTGAAGTGTCCATAATAGAGAGTCCATAATAGATTAAATAGAGCGTCTCCAACTACCCTTTGCCGAATTTGACGATTAAAGCATACGCCGATGAAGACAAAGTAATTGTTTTGAAATTCATACGAATAATTGAAAATACGATAAAAGCAGTTTCAAAAAATTTTATGATTTTCCTGTTCTAAGTGGTTTTGTTTTTAATTTTCAGTGGTTATAAACGGAAGCATATTTTAGAGAATTGATATTTCAGAGCCAATCACAAAATGGCCTGAAGTTACCTGGATGAGATTATAAAATTAATGCAAATTCGAGGCGTAACAATCGTAAACTCAGATGAAATATTTATTTATTAGTGGGAAACCAGCCCGTAATTAAACGTATCGTCGGAAAAAAACATACAGATGATTCCTAGAAATCCCTTGCCCCACCCTACCGCATTCGAATATTTCAATTTATAATAACTGTATCCAGATAGTTTATCGAACTGTATCGAAGTGAAAATGAAAAATTTGGATGCAATAAGCATATTTAAAACCAAGCGGGCTAAAATTTTTGCAAAAATTTAACAAAAAATAAATCGAGCCTTCAATTTTTTTTTGAAAAAAAGGAACATTTTGAAAATCTATGCTCCAGTGAGTCCATAATGAACAGGGCTATAGTTTTAGAAGCATGCAGCACTCTTAAATCTTTTGTAAGTTTCCAATGAGTAATTTTAGTAAAGGTAAGAAGTAAGATTCGCAAAACTAATAACAAAGTGGTCACCTTCATTTGTAAGAGAACTGCTTGTCACTCCATGCAAAATGTGAAAACTCAGTTGCTTCCAATATTCTACTTTTTTTCCGACTTTCAAAGAAAGTGACGACGGAAAAATTGTGCTCGGGTTGATTTTTTGCAGACGAATTTCGATTAATAACTAGCTTTTTTTGAACAGATTGTTAAACTCACATGAGGGCCAGTTTTCACCTGTGATCTTTATCGAAACATTTTCGAGCTCTAAAAATAACCAATTAAGCTAGTTTGCCACAATCAAAGAGCGAAATATGAAACTATTCAAATGGATTTGAGGCAAGACATTTGGTGTTATCAATACTTTACTAGATGCTTTGAGCTTGTCATATCGTGTTTAAAAAGCCAAAAAAGATCATTTTTTTTCATGCAAGAAAATTATTAATTTTTTTTTCATCTGATTTTTTCAAAAACTGTTTCAAAGGCGATGAAAGACAGTCAGATAATTCAACGCCTCACCCTGGTACGAGCAGTTTTGTCTTTTTTGAAATCCGGATAGAAAAAACGCTTTCAACTACTTGATTTTCGAAATCATTATTGAAACGATGCTTGTTTCCTTCCCCGACTGGTTTTATTCCGGTTTTTTTAAAAAAGACAAATTATCCAGCTCCGGGTGTTTTTTCTCCAGACTAATGTGTGCGTTTTGACGTGATTTTTGTATCATCCTTTAAGTATTGTTTTCCTCAGCTCAAAGTTAAAAAATTAGGGGGTGGTATTAATTCAACCTTTTCAATCAGTAGTGTTATATAGTCTAAGTAATGCTTAAATTAATAATGTCGCAAAATCCTTAATTTAATTATTTTCAAAAAAAAACATGTGTGGTAATTGTCTGCACTACATATTAAAAAATCACTGCACTTTCATTTCCTTGTGAAACCAGCAAATCAATTATGTTGGTTTTGTCTGGAAGCTTAAGATAAGTCCAATTTAGGGAAACATGTATAAGTAAATGATTAAAGTTTAGAAATATTTTGTAAAAAAAAAACAATTTGGTTTCGTATTCATCGGAAAACTTCATAAGAGTAATGAACGTAGTGAAGACTCTTATATGGGTCTTGCTGATTTTTTTGTTTTTTTTTGTTCAGGAAAAAGTCATTAAAAAGGCATGAAAGTCTCTAATAACTACAGATGTGCATTCATACATATTGTTGCATTTATCAATAAACTTGGATATATATTCACTTTTTCAGTTCAATTGAAATTCATCTGCTGAAAATGACGTAAATAGCACCCTCCAAATACAAGCGTGGAAATGGCGCAAAAAGTGTGAATGGTTTTTAGTACCGAAAGTGAGATTTAATTTTTAGTCGGGTTGATGTTATTAAAAAAGCACATATCATAAATTTTTCTCGAAATTCGAAAAGCTTAAAGGGCATCCAGTTTTTCTTTGAAATTCGGAAGTTGAGATTTTCTCAACAAAGTCAATGTTTTCTTTATGTCTACTTGCGTTAATTACTCTTTTCCAATCTTTGATTGGCTTTGTTTTAGTCAGCCAGTTCTTTTTCAAATTTTCGAAAGAAAGAGGTAATTAAGAACATCATTAACAATTGAAGTTTTTTATCACAGTCAAATTATGCAACACTTTCAATCAGAAAGTTAAGATTGGTTATTAAAAATACACAAATTATTTTCATATTTTAACCATTTGGATTTTTTTTTGCTTTTGGTACGCTAAATTATAGAATGCAAATAAAAAAGCTTCTACTCAGCTGTGTTTGGGCTAATTAATTTTCTTTTTTACCTAAATTAATTTTAGGCTGCGTTTTGCTGCTGCAAACGCTTTGTACATAGAAAATTAAATTCTAGAAACTAAAAAATTTGCTTTGATTGCTTTTAAAAAATTGCTTTTGTCCATTTTCAGTCCCTATTCAAGCTGCGTTCAAGCTTTATTGCGCTAGATGGTGGACTTAAAAGATAGTGAAACTGCATTGTTTTTTTTTTCATTTTTTATATCTGTTAATATACTAAAAACAACCAGATAAAACTATGGAACCTTCAGGGTTTTCTCAATACAAGCAGTTTTTTTTGTGTGTTACTGCTGGTACTCTTTTTGCTCGATATTAATCAATTAATATCATGAGATTTGATTTGTACTCTTATTCCCTCGAAATTATCAATTTTATCCCGCGAGCAGTGACCTCTCAAATTAAACATGAAATCTTTTCGAAGTCTAAACTATTTTATCTCCCTTTTTACAATAAATGCAATTTTGTTTGTCCTGAAGCTTAGTAATTCTTCCATTTAAGTCTTTCAGGACATAAAATCAATTTTTCAAAACCGGAGATTAAACAGATTTTTGTGTAAATTATCTGCCGTTTTGTTTTGAATACCGTGCTTTTTAATTGGTAACCAGGGAAGATAAACTAGTTGTATTTCTTTTTCATTCTCAACGATTTATTACAGGTAATACAGACAAACTACTAGTAAAAGATCGGTCAAGTTTATAATAAAAGTTTTGAATTGGTTTTATTGTCCAGTATATTTCCTTCCAAAAAGTAGATTGGTTCTTTCAGGTTTTTGTTTCTTTGTAATGTACTTCTAAAACACTGGGCTGCATTCAAAGACTATCTTGATTCAAAGAATCTGGGTTCCTTTGAAGTGCGGTCCTAATTTTATAAACCGGAACCCGAACTATTCCTAATTTTGATCTAAATTGCTGGATTCGTTTCACTAGATTACAGTTATATTTCTTATCGGTTCAGAGAATATTTGACCCATTTTCTGGTCTAGAAAATACCTTAATTTAGAACAGATTGCTTCAAACATCATTAGTTTATTCGTTTTTGATAATTCGCTTACTCTACCAAGGTCATTAAAATTAATCCAGTGCCAAAATTATTACCCGTTTTTTAAGGCTTTTTATCTGCAAGTTTGCAAATTTTACTTGCAAATTTAAGTGAACTGTCAAAAAATAACCACCATCTCCAATGATCCTTCGTTTGAAAGCATCGCTTAGACTTAATTGTCTATTGTCTTTGGCATCATAGGCATTGATTGATAAACGTTTGAAACTGTAATTTAATTTTCGATAAGGACCTTGGTTCGGACA